AACCCCGCTGGCGGGTCCCCGCCGTCCCAGTGGGCACGTCGCCTGCTACCGGGGTGGGTGTCCCCCTCTAAAAGCACCCGCCAGCCCCCTGCAGAGCCCCGTACTCTGCGGTGACGGCGACGCTTCTTCCTCTTGAGCTCTTTGGGGCAGCTTAAACCTTCGCCTAATGAAGCCGCCACCTCACCTCGACCTCCCTCGGCCGCGTTACTCGTCCTCGGGGGCTGATGAATTCCTTCTCTTGGCAGTCCTGGCTCCGGAAGAGGAAGAACTGGTGGCCATGGAGGTGGGTTCACCCCCTCTCCCGAAAAAAAGCGCTCCCACCGGGCAGCTGGATCAACCCCCCGCCAGGATAGGGACCAAACTCTCTCCTGAGCCGCCCGGGAGCAAACCAGAGCCTCAGGACTCCAAAAGTGAGTATTTTGCCGGGCTTCTCGTCATCTCCGACAGCTGAGTGCAGGGGTTTTGCTGCGAGGAGAGAGCGGGGAGCCTGGCAGGCGTTCGTTTAACTTGATCCGGGAGGATTTTCACGTCCTTTTTCTTAATTAATCCTCTAATTAAGAGCGTGGTCGTGTTGTACTCCGGTATCGCTTGTTTACGTCGCTTTTCTTTCCCTGGCGCCAGCAGCTTTCCAAAGCTCGCTGGGACCGGCGTGCACTCCCTGTCCTCCTTAAACCACCTCAGTCACTCCTTCCTCTCCTAATTAACGATGTTCCCCTAAAATAATCGCTTTGAGATCCCCCTCCTTTGCTGGCTGGCCTTCGGAGCCTGCCTGCGGCTCACCGAACCGTGGGCAAGGCTTCCAAAAACACTCTGGAAGACATCCTCAAGGGGGAAAACTGACCTCCTCCCACCCCAGGGCAGCGATCCTTCTCCTCCAACACCTCTGCTCGCTCTTCCCCGCTTTATTCCTGCCCGCCCAGGGACGCACGGAGCATCTTAACGTCCAAAATCAGGGTTGGGGGTGGTCAAAAAATCCCTTGGGGGGGGAGAAACAACATGGCTGGACGCTGCTCCCTGTGCCTCTTGCCACGACCGTGCCCTGATTTTCTTTTTTTCTCTCTTTCTTCCCCCACCCCCTTTCTCGTTTTAGCCCAGAACCTTACGACGTGCGAAGTGTGCGGCGCCTGCTTCGAAACCCGCAAAGGCTTATCCAGCCATGCCCGTTCTCACCTACGGCAACTCGGCGTAGCCGAATCGGAGAGCAGCGGGGCTCCCATCGATTTGCTTTACGAACTGATGAAACAAAAAGGCAAACCCGACGGCAGCCCCATGTCTCCCACCCTCGGCAAAAAATCCGGTTCCCCCAAAGATGCCACGGCCGGTTCCCCTCGACCCACGCTCCTGGCGCTCGGCAAGGCCGGCGATCGCCCGCCGGACGGTCCCGTTAATAAAGCCATCAAATCCCCTCCCGGCTTCTCAAAAAACCTCTCGCAACCGGGATCCCCCATCCTTAAGAAGGTGCCGTCAGCTCTTTCGGGGTCCCCGTCTCCGAAAAACCCCGAGGAGAAGAGCTCCAAGCTCTCGCTGAGCCCTCTGCAGAGCTCCCCGAAAGCGCAGTGGCCGCAGGCGGATGAGGAAGGACCTCTCAATTTAAGTGAGTTTCGTGGGGTTTTTTTTTTCCCCCTGGTGTTTCCCATTCGGCTGAGGGCGGGGGAAAGTCCGGGGCTTCTCCCGTCCTGCTCCCGCCAAGCCAGGCATCCCTCGGCGGCTGGGAGGGCGCAGAGCTCGGTGGAGGAGCCGGCGTTTGGTAACCGCCGTGCCGGGGGAGACACGCGCCGCTCCGTCGCGACTATCGGAGGGGACAGTCTTCCCTGACTGGGCGAACGGGCATTCCCGTCGGGATTTCAGGAAAACCG